TTGACCTCGGCTGCGATATCTCGGTTCTTATTAGCGGAGTAATTCCGCTTCTTTTGCTTAACTGGTCGACACGTTGGGTCAACATTAAGCTTATGGGAGATGAGGTCTGAACTTATCCCGGGCATATCAGCTGCCGAGAAAGCAAACACATCTCTGTTGTCCCGAAGGAGCTGAATAAGTTCACAACGGGTGTTCGGATCAAGGTCCATCCCGATTGTTACACATTTCTCAACGTCTCCTTCGGCCAACTCAACTGTTTCAGTCTGTTGGTCCATGTCCATTGCTGATGGACTGGACTCTTCATAATCTGGCCTGCTGCCAATGTCAGCAGGTGTCCTAGTCTTTTTGTTCTTCAGCTGGCTCTCTGAGTCTTGCGGCTCAGCTGAAGAGCTAGCCTTTTCCCTTTCGGGCCCTTTACCTCTGGGTACAGATCCTTGGGCCGAAGCACTTAGGCCTTTCGGCTTTTTTGTGCTTGGATCTCTTTCTTTTTCTTTCTCCTCCTCATCTTTGTCGTCATCTGGGCGACTACTGGATGGCTTGAGGTAGTTGCACCTTCGGGCGTCCTTTTGGTTGCCCTGTATCCTTTTGGGGAAGCCGGCGTCTGAGACGTAAATCATCAGCTGATGATAAGTTGAGACGACCCCTTGGATCTCATGAATTATGGGTCTCCCCAAAATCACGTTGTACACTGAAGGAGCATCAATGACCAAAAATTCAATCATGACGTTCCTGGCTGCCTCATCGCAGCCGATGGTGACAGGAAGTGTCACCTTCCCATCTGGATAAGTTGAAGCCCCGTTGAACCCGGATACCGGGTAGGGTACCGGCGTAAGGTGCTTGGGATTCAGCTTGATTTGATTGTAGGCCTTTCGGAACAGAATGTTTGCTCCGCTGCCACCGTTAACAAGGACCTTACTGACGTCGTGGTTGGCCACCGTGGCGATGATCACCAACGGATCCTCGTGAGGGAACGTAATCCCCCGGCAGTCGGCGGCTGTGTACGTCATGTTCGGCATCTGCGACTGGGGAGATTGAATGTCAGCGTTGTTCACCTGGTGAGTCAAAGCTCTAAGGTGTCGCTTGTGCTCCCTCCGAGAGTATATTCCTCCCGAGATAACATTGATCGGAGGGAATTTCCCCTCCGGCTTTTTACTGTTTTTCCGGGGGAAGTCGAGGTCTTGTCGAGAGTCCTTTGCTGACTTCTCGGATTCTTTTTTCTCGCGGTGATCCGCGATGTATTTTTTCAAGTATCCCTTCCGGACCATGTCCTCTATCTGGTCCTTCAGTTGGATACACTCCTCAGTGTTGTGTCCCGAAGACTCGTGGAACTCGCACCACTGATTTTTATTTTTTCGCTGATACCACTCTGGGAGTGGTCTCGACTTTCGGTAACTCTGCTCCTCCTTCGTCACGCTGTAAATTTTGGCGCGTGGAAGAGAGAGCGGAGTGTAGGACTCGTATCTGCCTGTGTATGAGGCAGATCTTTCCTTCTTTGGGTCGCTGGCCGAAGATTGCTCCGAGGCCTTTGACTTTCCCTTTGCCTTATGGCCTTGGCCTTCAGACAAGGGTATTTGTCTTTGTTTCCCTCCCCCAAATTGAGGTTGGGTTTTCGCTTTGTTCCATTCTTCGGCTCGGATGAACTTATCCGAGGCATTCAGAGCTTCCTCCAAGGTCTGCGGGGTATGCATGACCATGAAGTCTAGGAACTTTCCGGGCTGAAGGCCATTCTGCATCGCAAAAACGGCTAGCCCCTGGTCCAGCTGAGAGACGCTGGATGACTCGTTACTGAAACGGGTCAGATAGTCTCGGAGGCTTTCGGTTTCCCCCTGTTGCAGACTCATGAGTTCTGCAGTAGTCTTCTCTCGGCGGTTTGCCGTGGAAAACTTGCTCCTAAATTTGGAGGACAGATCATCCCACCCTGTTATGGATCCTTGCTTTACTCCCTTGGAGATCCACGCTTGCGCGACCCCCTTGAGAGTGGTTGGGAAATATTTGCACCAAGTCGCTTCGGATCTGGGGCAAAGATGCATATGAGTCTCATACGAGGCCACGTGATCCTTCGGATCCGAGGTCCCGTCATATGTGATGTGCGACGGTATTTTAACCGTGGGCACGCGCTCTTCCAGTATCCATTGCTCGAATGGTGAACTGGCGGGTAGCATAACGGCCTTGCCCTTGTTCCTGGCCGAAGGGACCGCGCTCCGCCCTCTTAGAGAGGTAGGAGTGGTTTTCGTCCCTGGCTGGGAAGTCTGGGCCTCGGCTGCAGGGAACGAGAGGCGACTGCGCACGCTCGATTCCTTGCCCCCAAGTCGGTCGAGGACGCTTCGGCGAACAGTCTTAGGTTCTCGGTGAGTAGATTCTGGCCGAGAAGCTGAGCTGCTGCTCTTATGCGCTTCCGGTCGTGAGGATGAGGATCCTTTTAAAAATTGAGGGTTCTTTTTCCTCTCTTTTTCATTTTTCCAGGAATCCTCTTCCCACTCTTCCAGTTCCCGGAAGGAAGGAAGCTTCCCACCATCATGGTCTAACTTCCTCCGCTGATGCCGAGTATGCGGAGGAGTTCGATCACGAGGTGGTGACATATTTTGTGCCCTCATCCGAGCTGGGCCCCGTCAAAGGGGTCCTCGGCCGAGTATGGGAATGAGGGCGCACAGTCGATGGTTGGCTTTGGGGCACTGAATGTGTCCTATGATCGGACTCACCCCTGCTAGACCGAGAGTGACTCGGCCTATGATGAGAGTCATGAATTACGGGAGAAAGGGAATCCTCCTTGTATGATCCTCCCCCCGAGCTGGCACCCTTGGGAGAGTTCCGGTCCAGCGAGGGTGATGGTGTAGGGGTTTTAGGCTTTTCGCCCGCTCCTTGACGGAGGCCCTTGCTCTTGCGGTTCTTAGCCATTGCTACTAAGATTCTTGCAAGATGATCTTGGTTAGAAATTTGGCTTAAAGATTTTTGAAAGTCTTCCCCACAGACGGCGCCAAATTGTTTCGGGTGAAAACAATGGGACCTTGCCGAAGGTCCGCTGAAACGGAGAAGACTAGATTCGGTCCAAGTTATGTTGGGCCGAAGGTTTCCTGCACAGTAAACACACGTAAACTAGCCTCGGGGGTGTTGCCGAGGAAGGCCCCTCCGATGCTAAAGTCAGTACAATGTGTAGAAAGAGAACACTATGCAAGAGAATTTGTTGCTTGAGGCTTTTCTTGAGTATATGAGAATATATATGAGAATATGTGAATGAATCTGAATATATGAATATTGATGGCTTTTATACCTCTTCATACATGGAGAAGTTGGGTCTTAGCCCAATTGGCTTGCTTTGAGGGCTGACCTTTGACTTTAGCACAATTGGAGAGTTGAACCTTGACCTTGGGCTTTTAATTGGATCATTTAATGCCTAGACCAATTGGACTAAATTGGACCCAAACAACTGGAATGCCAAGTGACGCTGTCTCGTAACCTGGCCTGGCTGCGAGACCGGCTTTATATATGATATGATATGATATGATACTTTGTACATTGAGACTAATCTAGCAATATTTTATAGGGTTTTTTTTTTATTATTTTTTTTTTTTCGAAGTATATATAGATTAATTAAAATATATAGTTAAATCACTTAGATGTGTAATAACATGTCCAAACGAGCAAGGTATTATGGGATAGAGAAAATACTAATAATTAGCATACCCCATTAATTGACTTCAAATTTATTTTATTTTTTTAAAATTATACATTTGGGTAATATCGTGTCCCTATCCTCATGGTTAGAAGGCGTGAGTACTATCTTTGACCTCCCAATTACACTTATCATTTACGTTAGGCTAAAAAAAACAAAAAAAATACAAGTTGCATTTATGGAATGATCTGTAAGTTTGATTTTAATAAATTTTTGTTTAAGAACAAAGCATAAAAGTGTTGGTTTGAGATGGTCAAATTATGATAAAAAGATTTGAATTTGTGGTTATAATGGGTAAAACTTGCGATACTTAGATTAATCTGTACAAAAACGTGCATTAAGGTAAATTAATTCTGTTGAATTCTAATGTGAAAGGGAACCCTGTGTCCACACTTAACAGCGTCACATAAAAGAAGCTAAGCTGAGGCTAATGTTACAATGTGAACAGTGATTAATTTATGGCATTTGGGTAGTTTTTATTACGAGTAACCTTTATCGAAACTTATATTTTAGCCCGTGAAAATTACATGATTTAAACAATAAAAAAGATGGGAATTCTTTTGATACCATTGTACTCTTGACTTATAAGTTAAAAAAAGAAGAAAAAAAAAATGCAAACCATCCATTATCAATTAATTTTTGAATAAAACTATCATTTAAATTTTTAAGTGGCTTATTAGTGTAATAGTGACCCAAACACTCTTCCTATTTTCTTGAGTAGGCCACTATGAAGATTGAGATGCAACTCTATCTCACAAGTCTATTGAGTTATTTTGGCATTTATACAAATTTTAATTAAAAAAAATAACACTCAATGTTTGAAAATAATTGTTAGTTGCCTTAAACTTTTTCCCTACATAAATGTCTCATTTTCTCAGCATGTACATTTTTTAAAACCTAATAATCTTCTTCAATCTATCGAGACTCAAGATTGGTTTAGCGATACCAGTGTACCACATCGATCAAGTTTAAAACGTGTTCACACATCATACTCCCACAGATATTTTGGGACAATCATTTTTTTTTGACTTGAGCAAAAAAAAATACAATTATAGTTGTATATCCGTGTTACAATCAGCAATGACATTATTGTATACTTTGAAGAAGTTTATTTCATCTGATGTAATCTTCCTTGACTTGGCTCAATTCTCACCAAAAATCAAAGAAGTATTCCAATCATATATCATATACACTATAAATTTTTTTTATAAATAGTCAAGACTTAGTCAATTATTCCGTACTAAAAACTCTAGATTAAACCATGGTCTTCATATATATATATACAATTACTACATAATAAATCATATAGTGTTTGTGTATCATACTCATACTTCAACATACATTATAGTATATAAGACACACATACTTATAATAATCTTCCTAGTTTTTCTTTCATTACATTTGATTAGTGAGTAATCAAAGTACTAAAACTACTTATTAGCCGCCGATTGAATATTTGAAAGTTGATTAAGCTAGTGTACACAATGGGAAGATCACCATGTTGTGACAAAGCTAAGGTTAAAAAAGGGCCATGGTCTGCTGAAGAAGATACAATGCTTGTAAACTTTGTCGCGAAATATGGCAATGGAGGAAATTGGATTTCACTCCCTAAAAAAATCGGTAAGTTTTAAATTCTAACACCAACATATATTCTCAACGTCCGTATATTGTATATATAATTATAGATTTATAATGTCTTAGATTTCATGAAGTTCGGCCTCATGTTTTAAGCTACCCTAATGTTTTCGAAACAGGGTTGAATCGATGTGGGAAGAGTTGTCGTTTAAGATGGTTGAATTATCTTAGACCGGATATTAGGCATGATAATTTCACTGAAGAAGAAGATTATATAATACTCTCACTTTACCACAACATAGGCAGCAGGTATATATATATATATATATGCACAAATATTTATTTTTATATATGCTATCATAAGTTTTTGATATTATTTAGTTGAAATAATATTGCATGGACTAACCATATTGTATATTTATATGTATATGTTTATATAGGTGGTCAGTAATTGCGTCGATTCTACAAGGAAGAACAGACAACGATGTGAAGAATTACTGGAACACAAAGCTTAAGAAAAAAGTATCATCAGAAAAATTCAAGAATAATAATATTTTTGGGATTTCATCTTACGAAAATACAGATTTTAGTACACTCAATCATCAAACTCTAGGTAATGAAAGAATTATGAGTTCAAGATTAGGTCAAGGTGGCATTTTCGACGTTGGAGAATGTCGAGAGAATGTAACTCTAAGCCACACATCAAGTAGTGGTTCGATGACTCCAGAGATTTCAAGCTATTCAGGGTCATCATCAAGTTCTGTGGAATTTAATCAAAAAAGCTCGGGATCGATCTCGATTAATGGTGAAGAAGATGAGTTTTGGATGGATTTGTTGTCTGAATCTTTTGATGATGTTGTAGTTGGTTCTAAACTTGAGGAGAAAATCAGTGAGATAGCTTCACTCTTAGATGATTCATTTGGCAAAAGTGGGTTTTTATTGTAATTTTTTCTTTGAATGTAGTTCTTAAGGTAGAATTATTCATTACATTATATTGAATTATTTGTAGGCTAGCAAATCCTGCTTGAAATTCTATAAAAAAATTTGAATGTTATAGTTGACAGTGTCGTCAAATTATTGTTGCAAGATGATGATTTACTCATGTTATTAAATTATGGTTCATGTATGAAATTTCAAATAGTAGTAAAACATAGACAAATATAATCATGCATGATGCATGGATATAATATTTTGGTCCATGAAGAAATTAATTCAAAACAATGACCTTGTCAATATTAGGTACCTTAAAAATGGTGGAGTGGATGAGGAAAGTAGAGAGGAGTAAAGATGACACTAGGTCAAGCGGCTTGAGGCACAACATGAAATATAGCACACCACGAATGATTGGTGTAGGCATGGCATGTGATGTACGACATGTTATTGTGTTTATTTGTGTGTGCATGCCAGACCATTTTTGGGACCTTTATATGGGAGAAACATGACAAGGTATAATACGATATGACCCAATATGACATGACAAAACACGCTAAAATCAACAAAACTTGGCTAGTCTCTCAAGAATGCATGGCACGACTCACACAACATTACAGTGAGTCAATGACATACTTACATGTGGGCTTGGGCCAACCTATTGAAAATTACAGCATGGTATGGATTGACATGTAGCTTGTGGGGTAGGCCAAGTCAACCCCAAAGCACATGGGCTTGACACAAGGCACGACCCTCAAGGCCTCAACCATCTTTAGAGGAAAGGGGAAAAGGTAGGGGGGAGTGAGCTAAGATTTTCATTTTGGATCTTTTGCTACGGGAAAGTACTGGTTTATTATAAGGATAACGAAATTGGATACTTTGGAATATTATTATTCAACTCTTGCCACATTTAGAAAATACACAACGTCAAGGTTTTTCTATTCACAAGTTTAAGGTTAATTAATGATCTAGCATAGCATTTAAGATATGTGAAGCCAAAAATAAAGCTAAAAGAGGCCAAACGCTTCAATTCCATTGATTTTATTTAGTTGAAGTCTTTGGGGTGATACATAAAGAGATCATTTGTAGCTCTTTATACAATTTTTTTTTTTTTAGAGAGCCACAAAGGCGAGTGGTGAGAATAGATCCCAAGATCGCCTGGAACCGGAAGGAGAGGTCTAACCACTTAAACTATCCCTCACTCTCAGCTCTTTATACATCTAAGGAAAGGTGATTTGTGTGTGTAGTATGATGTACGAAGAATATTTAAAGAAAACAAAAGTATATTAATTAAAAGAAGAAAAGAGAGAGTCACGGGGAGGCTATTATTACTAAGTGCTAAGTCAATCAATTTTTTTTTTTTTTATTTTGTGTTAAGAGATTTACAAGGGTGAGTGATAAGAATCGATTCAGGATCACCTGAAACGAGGGGAAGTCTAACCACTTGAGTTATCCCTCACTCTCGCTAGATCAATCATATGCTTGTTAAACTTTGTCTCAATTAATTTTGTGAATATTGCCCCTCTTGAAAAATTTTCTCACTTTCTTAATTAAAAAAGTCCAAGGCTATAAAATAAATAGAACCATTTAAACAATTGTTTGAAACGTATCCTTCTTTAAGATAATTTAATTTACAACTACTTTGTATAGATTCGTTCAAATAAAAAAGGCTAATATGAAGTATGTTTAAATCACTTACAAAGATCAAGTAAAGATCGTCATAATTAATATAAACGTCATTTCAGCCTTTTATATACAGTATGTAACTTTGACTATTATAAGTTAATAACACATTCAAATTAAAATGGTAATCCACACCCTTTAACATAAGTACATAACTGATAACGTCAAGGTTTTGCTATTCACAAGTTTAAGGTTAATTAATGATCTAGCATAGCATTTAAGATATGTGAAGCCAAAAATAAAGCTAAAAGAGGCCAAACGCTTCAATTCCATTGATTTTATTTAGTTGAAGTCTTTGGGGTGATACATAAAGAGATCATTTGTAGCTCTTTATACAATTTTTTTTTTTTTTTTAGAGAGCCACAAAGGCGAGTGGTGAGAATAGATCCCAAGATCGCCTGGAACCGGAAGGAGAGGTCTAACCACTTAAACTATCCCTCACTCTCAGCTCTTTATACATCTAAGGAAAGGTGATTTGTGTGTGTAGTATGATGTACGAAGAATATTTAAAGAAAACAAAAGTATATTAATTAAAAGAAGAAAAGAGAGAGTCACGGGGAGGCTATTATTACTAAGTGCTAAGTCAATCAATTTTTTTTATTTTTTTTATTTTGTGTTAAGAGATTTACAAGGGTGAGTGATAAGAATCGATTCAGGATCACCTGAAACGAGGGGAAGTCTAACCACTTGAGTTATCCCTCACTCTCGCTAGATCAATCATATGCTTGTTGAACTTTGTCTCAATTAATTTTGTGAATATTGCCCCTCTTGAAAAATTTTCTCACTTTCTTAATTAAAAAAGTCCAAGGCTATAAAATAAATAGAACCATTTAAACAATTGTTTGAAACGTATCCTTCTTTAAGCTAATTTAATTTACAACTACTTTGTATAGATTCGTTCAAATAAAAAAGGCTAATATGAAGTATGTTTAAATCACTTACAAAGATCAAGTAAAGATCGTCATAATTAATATAAACGTCATTTCAGCCTTTTATATACAGTATGTAACTTTGACTATTATAAGTTAATAACACATTCAAATTAAAATGGTAATCCACACCCTTTAACATAAGTACATAACTGATAACGTCAAGGTTTTGCTATTCACAAGTTTAAGGTTAATTAATGATCTAGCATAGCATTTAAGATATGTGAAGCCAAAAATAAAGCTAAAAGAGGCGAAACGCTTCAATTCCATTGATTTTATTTAGTTGAAGTCTTTGGGGTGATACATAAAGAGATCATTTGTAGCTCTTTATACAATTTTTTTTTTTTTAGAGAGCCACAAAGGCGAGTGGTGAGAATAGATCCCAAGATCGCCTGGAACCGGAAGGAGAGGTCTAACCACTTAAACTATCCCTCACTCTCAGCTCTTTATACATCTAAGGAAAGGTGATTTGTGTGTGTAGTATGATGTACGAAGAATATTTAAAGAAAACAAAAGTATATTAATTAAAAGAAGAAAAGAGAGAGTCACGGGGAGGCTATTATTACTAAGTGCTAAGTCAATCAATTTTTTATTTTTTTTTATTTTGTGTTAAGAGATTTACAAGGGTGAGTGATAAGAATCGATTCAGGATCACCTGAAACGAGGGGAAGTCTAACCACTTGAGTTATCCCTCACTCTCGCTAGATCAATCATATGCTTGTTGAACTTTGTCTCAATTAATTTTGTGAATATTGCCCCTCTTGAAAAATTTTCTCACTTTCTTAATTAAAAAAGTCCAAGGCTATAAAATAAATAGAACCATTTAAACAATTGTTTGAAACGTATCCTTCTTTAAGCTAATTTAATTTACAACTACTTTGTATAGATTCGTTCAAATAAAAAAGGCTAATATGAAGTATGTTTAAATCACTTACAAAGATCAAGTAAAGATCGTCATAATTAATATAAACGTCATTTCAGCCTTTTATATACAGTATGTAACTTTGACTATTATAAGTTAATAACACATTCAAATTAAAATGGTAATCCACACCCTTTAACATAAGTACATAACTGATAACAGATATGTAGCCTAAACAAAAAAAATTAAATCTCTCCATGTCTTGAATCAATTTGTCGCTTTAAATGACCCACCTTATCGTACAAGATTAATAGAACGTTTTACCAAATTGAGCTTTAAACGGAAACTATTGACAAAAATGGTAGCGTGGCAAAACTATTTACCAAACTAAGCTTCCAGGGTAAATCGCTGTCTCGAACAGCGTTTTACCTTCTGTATTTTTTTAAATTCAGTAGGGCATAAAACGCTGTCTCGGACAGCGTTTTATCCTTGGGTTTTTTTTTAAAAAAAAATTCAACTACAACTATTTTATATGTTCAACATAAAGCGCTGTCTCAGACAGCGCTTTATGCTTGAACATAAAACGCTGTCTCATACAGCGCGTTATGCTTGAACATAAAGCGCTGTCTCAGACAGCGCTTTTCTGCTGGAAACAGCAACCAGCATCCAGGCAGAAAACAAGCTTCAGCAAACAGCTTGCATGCTGCAGTCCTCCAACAGCTTCAGCAAACAGCTTGCATGCTGCAATCCCAACAGAGTTAACGCATTAGCAATTAACCAAAATGTTAACGATCAAATGTTCCAAATGTTATTAAATCAAAATGTTCCAAATGTTATTAAATCAAAATTTTCTATTACAAAATAATTCCTCCATCTACGATTACAACGAATTTCAGTTAATAGTCATGGGTCCTCTGAGGGTCTCGATGGACACGTTGCCCGGTTATGGCCCTGAACGTGACAACGACTACATTTGCTCGCGGGCCGGTTAGTCTCATCCATTTCATTACGTATGCGCTTTGACCTTGGTCGCCCTATTCCACGCAACATGCTCCCGTCGGGAATGATTCTGGGACCGTTATAGGGCGTCCAGGTTGTCTCGCAAGGGATTGGCCAGAATTGCGGCGCGTATGTGCTCGTGTATGCCTCCGATTGCAGCACCGGGTCAACCCACGGCCGCTCTGATAGTGAGTACGTTGCACATACGGCTAGAACGTGAGAACATGGGAGGTGAAATATCGTAGGTTTGTTGCAGGTACACGTTCTTAACTGAAAGTTAACAGTATATACGGCTAGAACGTGAGAACATGGGAGGTGAAAAAACAGGGAATAACACGCTGTCTCGGACAGCGTTTTACCCATTGAATTTTTTTTTAAAAAAAAACCCAAGGATAAAACGCTGTCCGAGACAGCGTTTTATGCCCTACTGAATTTAAAAAAATACAGAAGGTAAAACGCTGTCTGGGACAGCGTTTACCAGTTGAATTTTTTTTTAAAAAAAAACCAGGGGTAAAACGCTGTCCGAGACAGCGATTTACCCTGGAAGCTTAGTTTGGTAAATAGTTTTGCCACGCAACCATTTTTGTCAATAGTTTTCGTTTAAAGCTCAATTTGGTAAAACGTCCAGATTAATACTCTATACTTCATACTACATGTCTACGTATAATCGCGAGATGTGAAAAATCTGA